CTAGAGCAGGTGTCAGAGGGCTATGAGCCGCAGGTTGCCAGATTGGGCTTCGGCTAAGTGAAGTCTGTGGGATCCTGGACACTGATAGACAGAGCAGATAACATGGCGGGTAACACTGGCAGAGAGGACAAGAAGGGGATTTGGAAAGCTACTGTTGACCTCTGCTGATGGGGTCAAGCTGTTCATTAAAGAAATGGTGGCATGTGCCTTTATCAGTCTTTTCCAGTCCCATCCTCTGATCCCCTTTATCCTCCTATCCCTCTGTCTCACAGGCTTTCATGTTGAAAAGAGGCCGCACACACAGACAAACGACAGTTATCACACACAAAGACCTTGGCTTCTTCCACTGCTCTCTGGGCTGTTGGGCATTGTTACAGTACATATTCACGAACACTTTACACACCCACACATACAAAAAACAACTTTGCCCAGAGCCCTAATCAAAGCATCAGTGTAATTCAAACCACCCCGCTCTTGCCCTAACGACCCGCACAGTCACCCCACCATGGCACCATCTCCCACTGCAGAGGTGACAGAGGGCACAGAAGAAAGGAAGGATTACATATGAAGAAAATTATGAAAGAGTTGCAGAGACTGACAGACAATTCAAGGATAAAGAGTACACATACAGTGACACCCGTCGGCTAGGCTACATCTCACTGCAATTGTGACAGCTTTGCTCTGGTAGAACTTTTCACTCTTCAAATTTAGCACAAGCAGATGCAAACACAGATGTAAATTTAGGAAGCTTTTAGGGCAGCCAGGTGTTAAAACTCCTCGTACGGCAGGTCCTCTTATATCCCCACTCGAGTTGTACAACCTTACATATGAGAGCTGTATGACTGAAAGCTCTCATCTGTCGCCGGCAGCTCAAGTACATTTGGAGCTTTTTTTTTAACTAAAAGAGAGTGAAAGTCCCTCCCACACAGGGCAAAGGGATCACATATATGACAGATTGCGATGAAGTCAAAAAACACTCCAACTACTTGCTGCGACTGCTTTTAGCTGGATTCAGGCGAAAAAGGTCCTTCTTTTGCTAGAACGTAAAAAGTCTAAAAGCGCTGATGCTTTAGCACCTGCATCTAGTGAGTGTGTGTGAGTTTTTAATAAATTAACTAGGAACACAAACCTACCTACACACATTGAAAACGCATAATAAAAATAAGAAAAATACTGCAAATTCCTCGTTGGAATGTACTGCTTTCAGCCTATTTTTAAAGGTTTCCATTAGAATCATTCCAACAATAAAAGAACCTCACTGTGAACCATACCTGATAGTAAAACTGATCTCATATCTGTGAAGTTCACTGCTCATAGTTCAGTGCTGAAGCGAATATGCAAGTGTTTTGAACTGTAGTTCCAACGGGTGCTCCAGAAAGACAGAGGGACGAATTTTAGAGTGACTTGCAGCCTGGACACACTGCCCGCATTTGGAATGTGTGCTGCACACAGCTCATGTTAATAGGTCACATTTGCAATAGCCGCAGTTCATATTAACTTGTGAAAAACTGTCTGTTCATCCACTGATACATTGTACACATAAGAGAATAGTTACTCCAAAAAAAGACAGAGCCAAGCTTTTTTTTTATTTTATTCAAAACCATCATCAAGAGCAGGTAGGTATCAAGGCCCAGTCACACCAGAAAGTGTCAAGGCAAAGTTAATCTGTGCGTCCTCTAGTTAGCTCCCCGAGCCGACTAGCTTTCTAATTGTCAGGCGGCAAGCTCAGTTGCTAACGGGACAATAAGTTCAGACAGTTTATTCATTTTGTACCATTGATTCCTGTCTCATTACTGTCTGCAAACCATTCCTCTTTTGCGGAGCAGAGGAGAGTTAAATAAAAGTGTAAGGTGTGACACAGCTAATAGGATAGTTTGCTCCAATTTGGACTCTCCTTCAAATGCCAGCTCTGTCAGGATGGGATTCTATTTCTGTTTGCTGGTGCAAAACGCTGGTGTGGCTGGGCCTTTTGGAACAGCTAATAAATACTAGAAGTGCCTGGTGCATCAATTACTATAGGCTGATGAAGTCAGTCTTAAATTGTTTGTAAGATAGAACATCTCTATATGTCAACACCCAATGCTTTCAACTGTATGTTAACAACTTAAATTCCATAGAAGCTTTTAGACAACTGTTCTGTCGAGAAATTCTTATACTGTAGTATCATTTAGATGTTTTAGATGTTGACTTTGTTAAATGTTCATAGACAGCACTGTTGGGTCCACTTAAGTGTTCCTGGTTGATTGACATGTCTCTGAAATGTATTTATAATATACTGTGATCACAAGTTTTGGCTATAGGGCATAGCACACCAGTGTTCCTATGTTTGGTTTTCCTGGGTATGTATTCTTTTTCTGTGATATTCACACCATTTATTTTTATATTTCACTTTTTTATTTATAATACAGATGGGATTACATTAGTGAATAGAAGTTGATGTGTTATGCAGTGTCAACACTATTGTCAACTATTTCAGTTACTTGATTCAATGTCTCCTCCATAATGAATACAAAAGAGGAAAAAAGTAAACAAATATAAATGTGTTCACAAAAAATAGTTATAAACTAGATTTTGAATTAGATGCCTTAATTTATTTATTTTTAAATATCTTTTAGGACTTTTACTCCAGTGTTTCTAGTAAATAGTTGATGGATCCATATTACAATATGACAATCAGTTTAGTTACACAGTGTGACTTTTGGCTTTTCTGCATAAATGTTTATCATAAACCTTTTGCTGACATTATACAGATTTATGCAGAATAAAGGTCAATCTGAGGTTTCCTAACATGACTGTCCTTTGCGATTTTTATGTAAATCTAGCCCTTGCAAATCATGTGAACCCTACAGCAGAAATTCAGCAAAATGTGCAATCCTCCCTCTAATGTATAAAGGTCAGAGTTCACTACTGATGCATGTCCCTGTGCATGTTTGATTAATAACAGAATGTTTTAATTTGTAAATGTGTTTTTCAGTGTCATACACACGTGTAATCTCAATAATGTTCTCTTACTAGCTGTAGAAATGGTTGCTTGCCATTTCTAAGGCTACAACTCTTATTTATGCAAACTTGGGTTTTCTGCTTCTGGTAGTTCATCAAA